AGGAAAAAAAAAAAAAAAGAAAGAAAGAAGAGGTCCTTTTATTTACGTAAAAAAAATATAAATAATAATAAAAATTGGTTGAAGCAAGAGGAACTGTGAGTTTAGAAGTCATATATCTCATTTAAAACACATACCCAATGAGATATTTCTTTTTTTTTTTTCACATCATTATTCATCATCATCATCATCATCATCATCATATCGTCGTCATCGTCATTTTTTTCTTTTTCTTCATCGTTATTTTACATATTACATAAGGCGTGTCATATTTAATTATTTATTATGTATCTTTTTTTATTCTTTTTCTTTTCAGTGATATTTTTTTTTTTTTCTTCTTCTTCTTCTTCTTTATTAATCGTATAAGAAAAGAAAGAAAAAAAGCACACACCCCCATAAGACGTACTTTAATTCTTTCTAATCCCTGCACACTCTCTCTCTCTCTCTCTCTCTCTCTCTCTCTCTCTCTTTCTCGCTCTCGCTCGCTGTGGATTATTATTATTATTTTATTATCTCTTACGCATTTTATTATACTTATTAATATAAATGTAAATATGTGTGTATTGTTTATCGTATTTCTTTTTTTTTTTTTTCTTTTACAACGAGCTATCATACTCTCTCTCTCTCTCTCACTCTCTCACTCTCTCACTCTCTTTCTCACTCTTTTTTCGATTAAAAACTTTCGAGTTGAAATCATCGAAAATTATTGGAAACGTAATGTCGATGACACAACGTTGTGATATGTGTCGTTAAGAAAAAAAAAATAATAAAAAATACATAACGAAGAAATATTATTATCATATATATATGTATAGGTATATATATATGTATATAGGAAATGAAAAATTTAGTAAATAAAAATGCGACTTGCTTTTCCCTTTTTTTTGTTTTTCTTTTTCTTTTTTAAAAATCTTCACAACGTAGAATACAATACGTATTCTGATATTTTATTGTTCTAATAATTAATAATTTGTTTTGCTACTAAAATAAGAAAAAATAATAATAGTAATAATAATAATAATATTAATAATAATAAACGCAAGTTTGGACGTTCCAATTTACAAAATGTAAATTCGTAATAAAACGCATAGTAGTATACACATAGTACATAGATATATCACACTTGTCAAGGTAATTACACGCACGAGTAAAAAATAAATAATAATAATAATAATAATAGTAATATTAATCTAGTAATAATAGTAATAATAATAA